ATCTCATTGAAATATTGTTTTGAAGCTGAACATAGGAATTCACAGTCAAACAGATAATGTTTAACTAGTTTTTTTGCCTTCAGCAACATCTCCCATGAACTTTCACCCAAATAAATTTTATTGGGGCAATGTTCTCTCTCAAAACACACCGAGGACCACTTAGAATTGTGTACAGTACTGAGTCTCAGATCCCCAAGGGTTCGAGTAGCTACATTTAGCTTAGACTCCAAGCAGTCCCTTATGGTGGTGAAAATTTCATCAGAAATTATCTGAGTGTACTCTTCCTGAGTGAGCTTCATAGAGTAACGTCCACTCTTTTGCTCTGCTACAAGGTACAGGGTATTCTTTATAAAGAGACTTTTATAAAAGCTTGTTATGATGTTAAAAATGTTTAATATTTGCTTAATATCAGTTGAAGTAGGTGTTTGCTGATCCAGCAAATAATATTGTTGACACAGCAAATTATTTGTTGACACTGGGTAGTGCAACAGGTGGGCGGAGACGAACCACTTTTTCGGGACCACCTTTTCTCCCCCACCCCTCTCCTTCCTCTCTTTTTCTATCCAGCAAATAATTTTGGTGATCCAGCAAATAATTTTGCTGACACAGCAAATATGTTGGCACTAGGTGGAGCAACAAGTGGGCGGAGACGAACCACTTTTTTTGGACCACTTATCCCCCCCTCCTTCCTTTCTTTCTATTCTTTTCTCATATAAGGTTAAAAATGTTTAATATTTGCTTAATGGCAGTTTAAGTGGCGTCTGCACATATAGGGAACGTCTCCGGGAACCCGATCATCTTGGCCTCGAAGTCGACGGTTGCACCTTGTCGTGGCGTGCACGATTTGAGAGAGTACATCTCTTTCAAACAAATCAAGAAGTTGAAGCCCTTTCAAGTATCCATCACACAGTTCAATATTTGTAAGCATTTCTTCTAGTTGTGCTATGAGAGTATTAACTAGGGATGATGGAAGAAGACATTTCTTATCAGCAATAACTTTAACTAAATCTGCGCAAACTTGAGCACTAAACTCTTTCCATTCTTCATCTCCCAAAACAGATACAACATGCCCCACAACTTGTTTAAATTTTGCACCACATTCACCAAAACTAGCACTATTTGCAACATCAGTTAGTGACTCTTTAGCAATTTCATCAGAATTTGCAATAATATCTTCGATGTCAGGAAATCGAGCAGCAGCCTCTGAAACAATTATAAAATACAAGCAATAAATATCACAATCAATAGGTAAACGTAAACATATAAGATATAAAGTACATCTATTTTATAACTTTGTACCTTGTAAAGTGTGTGTCATCATATGAGTTTTGAAGGAACGTCTGCATACGTAGCCCTTGAGACAGTATGTGCATATCAACTGCGGCTTCACCTTTTTTGCTTTGTCTGAAGAATTTTTGGCTTGATTTTTGGCTACATTCAGCTTCCTCTTAGCTGGTGGGCGAGCAGTAGGGACACGAAAACTAACTGTATTATCATTGATGTCACGAAGTTGGCTAAATGATAGCTCACTTTCATCAAGGTGGACAGCATTACTCACATTGTGAGAAATGGGCACTGAAACAACGAAACAATAAAGTAGTGAAAATAATAGAGATGATAAAACGGCTGCCGCGGATGTAAACAGCGAGTGAGTGAGTCCAACCATCAACAGATCACTGATATTAGACATTACTGACCTTGATCGGGGTGAGTTCGAACATGTTTTTCGAAGTAAAACTTGGAGACGTATTCCTTTTTGCAAACGTGACACGTGAATTTCAATCTTTGAGTTTTAGGGGTAGAACAGTCGAATGGCAATGGCCCGCTACCATCACCAAGTAAAGACAGGTCCATTCTGGAAAAAACAATATGGCATGCGCAAATCAGAACTCATGGAAATTATTTCATCTATAATACAAAATCAGATCGCACTCTTACCTGACGATTCCTGTTCAAACGTTTACAACATAAACAATAATATTGTACAACATTTCACTTGTTTCCGTCCACCGACGAGCCTCGAGCGCTCCGAGCCGCCCACTGGTGGAGGGGGGAGCGGGGAGCCGCCGAGGCCTGCTCATGCGCAGTGCGGCAGCCGGCCGCCGCGCGCCGCGCCGCCAGCCGCCGCCGCCCCGCCCGGCAGCCAGCCAGCCGAGCCGCCTCCCCCGCCCGGCACGGAACGCGCACTTTGCGTCGCTCGCGGCTCTTACTCGTTGATGTCAGGGAAAATCAAACTATATCAGGAGACGCAGAAAAGCCTAGCGAATACAATGCTGT